AGAACTATATGACTATTGTTTATAAGCCACCCAATCTATGGTGTCTTGCTATGGCAGCCCAAATGGACTAAGGCATACGTGCAGCAAGAACTTTCTAGATTTCATCTATATGCTTTCAGACTAAGTGAATAACCACCACATTCCATTTGCTCGTTCCATTCCATTCAACAGGCTCTGCCTCCGGCAGGGCATGGCCCACGCACTGTGCATCTGCTATTCCCTCAGGTAAGCCTAACCGCTCTAACAAACCTCATAGAGGTACAGTGGCTTAAACATGATGAAAGAAAGAAGAAAGAAAGAAAAAAAAGAAAGAAAGAAAGAAAGAAAGAAAGAAAGAAAGAAAGAAGAAGGAAAGAAAGAGAAAGAAAAGAAAAGAAAGAAGAAAGAAAGAGGAAAGAAAGAAAGAAAGAAGAAAGAAAGAAAGAAAGAAAGAAAGAAAGAAAGAAAGAAAGAAGAAAAGAAGGAAGGAAGAAGAAAAGAAGGAAGGAAGGAAGGAAGGAAGAAGAAAGAAAAAGAAAGAAAGAAAGAAGAAAGAAAAAGAAACTTCTAAGATTTTATTTATTCATGAGAGACAGAGAGAGAAGCAGGCCCCCTGCGGGGAGCCCAATACAGGGGGAGTGGGGAACCTCAATCCCAGGATCCCAGGATCATGCTAGAGCTAAAGACAGCTGCTCAACCACTGAGCCACCCAGGTGCCCCCCAAGGTTTTTATGGGAAGGCAGGGAGTTGGCACATACTACTTCCATTCACCTTCCATTGGTTACAACTCAATCAACGTGGCCACGTGTACTCACAAGGGAGGTTGGGAAAGAGAGGTTAGCTGTGGGACCAGGAGGAAGAGAAAATAGGTTGAATAAACAGCACTGTTACCTGCTGAGTGTGATTTCATTTTTCTTATGCAAGGAGTTCTTTTTTTTAAAGATTTATTTTTATTTTTATTTATGATAGATATAGAGAGAGAAAGAGGCAGAGACACAGGCAGAGGGAGAAGCAGACTCTGTGCAGGGAGCCCGATGCGGGACTCGATCCTGGAACTCCAGGTTCGCACCCTGGGCCAAAGGCAGGGGCCAAACCGCTGAGCCACCAGGGATCCCCATGAGTTCTTAAATCAAAGACCTTATCTGGCATGCAGCCAAAGAAGAGCCAGTAGCTCTAGTGCCAGAGAAAAACAGGCTGTGTTGAACTTCATCAGAGATCACATTATTCTGTATTTTACGGGCAATTCAAGGAACTTCAAGGGTAAATTTAGTAGAGTAGCCATGTTCTCCAAAAATCCTGGGTGGCTCAGGGGGTTAATGCTCAGGGGACTGGCTCAGAATTTGGCTCTGGTGTGAGCTGGAGCCCCACTCTATTGCCAGCAAAACTTGCTTTTCTATCACTAAGGTGTATCTGGTCTTCCTCACCCTACAATTAGTACTGGGCCTGTCTTTATGCATACGATTTATTTATTTATTTTAAAGACTTTGATCTCTCAAGAGAGAGCATGAGCAGGGAGCCCAACATGGACCCTGAAATCATTACCTGAGGCAAGGGCTGATGCTTAACCGACTGAGCCACCCAGGTGCTTCCATGCATATGATTTAAAGAACAGCTTCCTCTATTACCTTACTAGATTTCATAAGCCCGTGGGGGTACACATAGTGGTTAGGATGGGCTAGATTCGGGGGATCCCTGGGTGGCACAGCGGTTTAGCGCCTGCCTTTGGCCCAGGGCTCGATCCTGGAGACCCGGGATCGAATCCCACGTCGGGCTCCCGGTGCATGGAGCCTGCTTCTCCCTCTGCCTGTGTCTCTGCCTCTCACCCTCTCTCTCTGTGTGTGTGTGACTATCATAAATAAATAAAAATTAAAAAAAAAAAGGATGGGCTAGATTCTACTATGGTAACATCCCCCTCCCCAGGTTCCAGTTCCATAATACAGCAAACACTTCTTGCTCCTGCTGGAGTCAGGTGTGGCTCTCTGCTTCATGCCATTTCTCTCTCTGGGATCCGTGCTGACAGAAAAGCCTCTGTTTGGAACACTGCCTGTCACCATGGAAAAGGAAAAAGAGAAGGCAGTGATGTGCCTTCCCTTTGCATTTCACTGGCTAGAGCGAGTCATATGGCCCAGCATGATGGCCATTAGAGATCCCTGTGGAGACATCAGGTCATCAGCTGGAAAGGAGTCCAGAGCTCAGGGGTGAGGTCAGGGATGGAGAACTGCATTTGAAGTCCATGGTGTAGAGATGCTCTAAAGCTATGGAACTGGCCAAGATGGTCACTGAGTAAGAAGGTGGCTCAGGGCGACCCATGATTTAGATGGAGCAGGGGAAGTAGAGCCGGCCAGGGAAACTGAGGTGTGGCCCCTGGTGTGGAGAGGAAATGGAGTAGGCCAGGTCAGGGGAGCCCCAGTGTGGAAGAGAGGTGGCCACTGTGCCTAGTGACAGGGGAGGCTGTGCAAGAACCATCTCGCTGAGGGGTCTAACGACAGGGATGTCACTGGTGACGCCAATAAGAGTGGTTTCTGTGAAGAAAGGGGTGGAGGCCACAGTTAATTGGAGTAGCTTGAGAAGATAATAAGAGGTGAAGAATGGAAACTAAGAAATGTAGGCTGCAAAGGAAAAAGAGTAAGGGTGGCAGCTGGAGGGAAGGCAGAGCTGAGGGAGAGCTCATTTGTTGGTTCTGGGGGGGGCAGAGTGGCAGGGAGCCCAGACAGGGAGAAACTGACAGTGCAGGCCAGAAAGCTGATCCATGGAGGAGTTGACTCAAGGGCTCGAGATGGCTGGGATCTAGAACCCAAGGGGAGGAGCAGGACCCAGGGGGACACATTCCTAGTGGGAGCAGGAGACAGGAGTCCAGGTGCTGGTAGTTTGCTGGATTTGGTGCTGGGAAGCAGGGGGGTGCCTTCCTGCCCCTATGTGCTTCTATTTTCTCTCAGAGGGGAGAGTAAGTGGGTGGGGATGTGGGAGGGTGGGGGGAGGCACAAGTGGTTGTTCTGAAGGAGCTCACACAGAAGAAACAGAGTCAGAGGCCCTAGGTTTCCCTCCAGATTTGTTGCCATGAGTTTAAAATGAGATCGTTCAGCATGTGGGATATACCTCCCCCCTGCAATATGCCGCTGGCCAGAGGCTGGTGGAGAGGATGGTAGTTGGTTTAAGAAGGGCTGGGGTAGAGAGAAGGCCCTCAGCTGCTGGGGAGTCCCTGCCCCAACTTAATGCCCCAACACACAGAACACACAGAATCTCCAGACCTCCAATTTACATCCCAGACCCCGACGAAGGGGAGGGGCTTGCAGAGCCCTACCTTGTCATGCACCATCAATAAAGTATACTGAGTATACTGTACCCAGCTAAAAAAAGGGGGGGGGGCTGGGGTAGAGGAGCCTGGGTAGCTCAATTGGTTGAGCATCTGCCCTGGGCTCAGGTCATGATCCCATGGTCCTGGGGATCGAGCCCTATATGCCCATCCAGTTGGGGCTCCCTGCTCAGTGAGGAGTCTGCTTCTCCCTCTGCCTGTCACTCCCCCCTACTTATGCTCTCCCCATCAAATAAATCTCTAAAGAAAAAGACGGGGGGTGGGGTGGGGGGGAACAGGACTAAGTATCACAGGGGAAGGGGAGAAGTGGAGTTAAGAAGGGAGGTTTCTGGTGAGTGAATTACCCATAGGACAAAAATCTAAGCTGGGCAAGATTGAAATGAAAGGGTGGGTGTCAAGGTTGAGAAGGTGGTTGGGGTCAAGGTCACTGAAGCCCTGAGTTGGAGAAATGGTTTGGGAAGGTGAGGCTTCAGAGATGGTATGGTTACCAGTAAGGACAAGGTCAAGGAACGGCCATGGGAGCTGGATGCTGGGGGAAGGAACATACCCACCAAGGACAGTCTTACTCCCCAAAGGCTCTTGGCCATGAGCAGGGCTAAGGCTACACGTAAAGTTCTGCATCTGGCACCTGGCACATGCTCATGACCGCTCTTAAGGGAAGATGTAGGACCGTTAGTAGGAACCAGGGCTGGTGAGGCTGACTCAGCCCTGGCCCCCCAACGTGCTGCGAGCTCACCAGTCAGCCCTCAGCTTCAAGCTCAGGCTTGAGTGGAGCCATCAGCCACACAAATGCAACTCAGCTCTCAGCTCGGAAAGAGACCAGGCTCGTGGGGTCAGGCCTCCCTCCATCAGGAAGAGGACTCAGACCCCAACGCCAAGCATCAACCCTGTTCAGGAGGGGAAGTGCTCCTGAGCTCTTTCATGGACAGAAGACATCAGAGAAGTGGCCTTCTCCAGCCATCCAGAATGGAAAGCAAGCTTCTGTCTCCTTTATACCTCCAGTATCTTTTTACTTTGCTATAGACCTGGTACCCACAGCTCCATCTGGGCAAAGGGCTGGTGCACCATGCAGCCTCCTCTTACAGAAGAGGATTTGAAACTGCCTGGATCCGTCCCCAAGAAAGGGCTCTGTGATGGTTGTGGGGGGTTGTGTGTGTGTGTGTGGGGGGCGGGTGGAAGGAGAGAACTCCTCTCTCTGCTCCTGAAGAGCCCTTCCAGAAACCCAGGGAGGCACTGGTTCCTGTGGCCCCTGGGTAGGATCCAGACATCCCCTGAAGTGGGACAAGTGCACAGGCCATGCTACCAGCAGGTGGCGCCAGAGAGCGCCTCCCAAGTGCTGCGGGAGGGAAGCAGGGGTGGATGCTCCAGCAGCAGAGCGTTAGATTCCAGAACTGGCCAGATTTGCTCCTGGAGGACTTAGCTGAGAGAAGAGATGTTGCTGGTACTGAAGCTAGCCCAGGGGGGCTGGCCAGGCAGGAGCCATTCTCTCCCCTGCAGTGTCCGCCCCCACCCCGGGGTCAGAGATAGCTGACTGTCAACAGACCGTCTGGCTATTGAGACCATGGGGTCACATTTCTAACAGCGTGACTTCAGGTGAGTCTTCTCCCTGTTTCCTCTCCACCCAACAGATGAGGATGGTCTCTAGCAGCTACCTGGAGATTTCAGGGGTATCCACTGAGCTCTCTCAGGATGAGTTTGAGGCCCAGCATTTAAATGCCCAGAAATGTTTTATTCATCAACGCAGTATGGATCTAAGGAACCACATGGTTGCTTCCAACAGCTTGAGGAGGGGAAGTGGAGCGGAGTACCAAGCCTTCCCGGGGGCCAGGCATGCCAGCTGCCTTTTGGGCTGGGTGCTGAGCCTCAGACCCTACGCCCAGCAGACCCAAGGCTGTGTTGAAGAGGTTGATGGGAGTGGAGCCATCGGTGATGAGGGTTGATTTCAGGCCCAGGCTCTGAAGCAGTTTTACCTGGAGGAGCAAGAACATATAGTCAAGGCCCTTGCCCCTTTCTCTTGTTTCCTTGGCCACTATCCCCCCATTGATCTGACATCAAGCTGCCACTCAAGCCATCTTCACAAAATAGTCAGAGATAATAGGTGAGGACATAAGGGGAGCCTGAAGGGTTTCACCAGGAAGACCTGGCTACACCTGTATTGCCTTCAGCCGCTCACCATTCCATCCTTGGTGGCAGCCATCCCATCCTTTCTGTTCCTAAGCACACTGAGTTTTGTTCTGTGTCTTTGCCCTTGAACCTTCTCCAGGAAGCTCCTGTCAATTCTACATCCCGTATCCCCTCCTCATAGCGACTCTTCCTAAGCCAACCTGCATCACCCTGCTCGACTTCCTTCAAAGCACTTGCCACAGTCCAGTGTCCCAGCGGGTCATCATCTGCACCAGGGGCTGAGGCCCCCTGGGAAGCTAGCATGGTGCCCACCAATCCCTCTGCCCCCAACATCTTTCCAGATATGTCTACCGCCCTAGCTCTGCCTTCTTGGTTTCAAGTGTGGCCCTGAAACACACACTCCCCTGCTCCCACCACTGCCACTCACCTGCATCTCTGGCCCAGCCACCGCAAGGTCTCTGATGGTGCTGGGGCCCAGGGCCTCAGTCATCTGTTTGAACTTCTTCACCTCCACCTCAGCCAGCTGCTGGGCCTTGCTCACCTCCAGTTCTAGCTGGGCCCGGGCATAGACCAGTTCTAGCTCTCGCACTTTCTGTACCCGCTGGAGCTCAGCCTCCTGGAAGAGAGGAAAACATAGCATGCTTTCCATTGTGTGGCCCACGGGAACTGTCCAGCAAGTCACCCTAGCCAGCAAGCCTGAGGGAACAGAGCCCCCAAGGGATGGAATTGCAAGCTAATAGTCAATCAGGTGTGGATCCTGGCCAGGCTACCTTTTAAGCTAGTGACCTGTGGGAGTCCTTAGTCTAAGCCTTGGTTTCCCCATCTGTGATATGGAGATAATATTTATCCCCTTAGTGGGATTTCAAGAGTTAAATAGGACCACATGTATAAGATGCATCCAACACTTGGCACAAAGCTGGCCAATGTTTGTATGCATATTACACACAAGATGGATGTCCTAATGCTTGCCTGCTGGGGTGAGGGGGTGGGTGCGGAGATTAAGTGAATAGATAGAGGGCAAAGGACTTTATAAACCACAAAGTAGTTATAAAATAGTGCTTTACAGGGATGCCTGGGTGGCTTAGTGGTTAAATGTCTGACTCTTGATTTCGGCTCAGGTCATGATCTCCAGGTTGTGAGATCTAGCCCCGAGTCGAGAGAAGCTGGGAATGGAATCAGTTTAAGATTCTCTCTCCTTCTGCCTCTGCCCCTCCCCTCCACCCTGGCTCCCACTCTCTAAATAAATAAGTAAATTAATTAATTAGGGCTTTATACTCCAATACCTGGCATCCTGCTCATATTCAAGGATTGGCATGATGGTGCCTCTTCCAGACCCCAAGGCTACATCCGCCCACAGGTATCACCCCCCACTCACCGTCTCAATGGCCAAGGCCTCTGCTTTCAGCTTGGCCTGCAGCACGGAGCCTTCTCCCTCGATGCGCAGGGCCTCTGCACGGGACTCAGCCTCAGCCTTGGCAGTCCCTGTGCTCTCCACAGCAGTGCTGGGGGGGGGGGGCGGGCAACAGAGTCAGGGGACACCCGGGAGAAACCTTCCCATGCCCTCCCCCAGCCTTGACTTATGTCGCAGCAGATGTCACACGCACCCTGCTCCATCCACCAGCTACTTTTCCAAGCTGGGCCTTGTTTGCCTCTGGTTTTCCACCCACCTCAGAGCCTCCAGCTCCAGGAGTTCCCTGCGAGCTTTTTCAGCTTCAGATTGGTCCAAGATCTTCTGCCTCTCAAGCCGGCCGCGGGCTTCTTGCTCAAGTCTCTGAGCCTCGTGCCTGGATAGGAGAGGGGACCAGGAAGATGCTGGTGAGAGGCCAGATCTCGACCAGGAAATCCAAGGGCAGGGACCACCAATCTGTCAGGGGCCCATGGAAAGCACTCAATATGCAAATGGAAGGACAGTGCCTGATCCCAGGCGCAGGGGAACACAGTGTGACCCGGGGCCCCATGTTCACACAACTGACCTCCCAATCAGGAAGAACAAATGAATGGGGTTGATTTTAGACAGTGACAAGTTCCCTGAAAATGGATGATGAGGCGCTGTGGCTGAGCAGAGAGGGTGCCACCTCAGTTGGGGAAGAAACAGGCTCTCCAAGGGGGGCAGCTTGGGGCTGAAGCTGGAGGAGCAGCCTGCCTGAAGCGTTTGGGGGAAGAGTATTCTGGGCAGAGGGAACGGCCAGTGCAGAAGGTCCTATGGCATGAGCCCAGCTGTGCCGCAGTGGGGCAGAAAGCAGCTAGTGGGATCGGAGCACATGAGCCTGGGGAGAGTCTGGAAGGGGTGGGGAGGGAGGCAGGGGGACCAATCCCTGGGTACCTGGAAGGCCACAGCAACAAGTTTGGGTTCTAGCACAAGCAAAGGAAGATGCCACAGGAGCAAGAGAGCACCCAGTTGTACTTTGAGTGGGCCATCCATTCTGCTGGCTAAGGGTGACACCAGGCTGACCACAGGATCCCCGACAGTGGACTGAGGGAAGGACACTGGAAAGCTCTGGCCCACAGTGGGCACTGTGGTGGCAGGGGTCCCCCACCCAAGACCTCACTCACTTGGCTGCAGCCTCCTGGGAGTTGGTGGTGATCTCAATGGCCAGCTGGACACTGCGCTGTAGGGCATCCCGGGTCCTCTGGTCCACAGGCTCCACTGACTGCACGTCCACACTGCTGACCACTAGTCCATTTTGGGGGAAGATGGCCCGGTCCCGGGGCTGGGGCAGGGCCTTGCCGTCGAGTATCTTGGTTTCTGGAGTCTCAAAGCCAAAGACAGCCATGCGAATGATGCGGGCGGAGTTCTTATGGAAGTCATCGAAGGTGACAGATGCCACAGCCCCCCGCACCCGGGACGCGATGGCTTTGCAGGCGTCACCCACGAAGTCAGGCACTGAGAAAAGCTTGGCTGCCTCCTTGGGGTCCTTCCGGTCACTCAGTTCGAAATGCCTGTGAGCAAAGAGGCCCAGAACAGGGAAGCTATTTTCCTCCAGGACACAGCAACTTTCTCGTGTTTGGAAAGGACTGCGACGCAAACCCTCCACTACTGGCCAGGGTCTGTCTCTCTTAACAGTGAGTGAGAATTAGCGCCCAGGTGATGTCCCATTTAATTCTCTTGGTCACCATATGAGGTAGGGATGAGTGTTACCCCCTTCTGCAGAGAAGTAAGAGGCCCAGGAGGTTAAGGGACAGGCCTGAAGTAGCAGAAGATGTAGCCAACTGGAAAGATGAATCAGGCAGCATGGCTGAGTAGATTTATGCTCTAAGGTACCACGCTGTCATGCCCCCTAAGATGTCAGCGTCCTTCTGCCTCCGTCATGGTTCTGGCCACTCAGCCAAGAGGTGGGTGTGGTGGAGCATAGCTTCTGGATGTGACTCCTTTCCCTCAGCTCCAGGTACTGCCATTCCAGCTCTAACTATGTACACGGCCCATTCTAATCCTCAACGTACTTTCAACAGCCCTGTGAGGTTGATGATTGCCATTCTCATTTTACAGATTGGGAAACTGAGGAAAGCATTGAGTCTGTAGCCTAGATCCACAGCAAGCACACAGCAGGGCCGGGATCCAGACAGGGAGCCCTAGAGTGTGTGCTGGTGACACCTGCCTGCACACTCCCACTCCTACCGGGTGTGTCCCACTGACATTTTTATAACCTTGCAGTTATGTGGCTGACTGGACTCATGGGAAGTTTAGCTGGGGAGTTTCCTCCGACCACGTCCACCAAATCCTGCTCCTAGGGAGCAGGGGAGTCTGCATCTTCCCATCACCCGACTTGGGCATCACCGGGTTTCCTTCTCAGTCATGACACAGAGTCAGGTATCCTGCCCCCACTCAGCCTGGCACCTTGGGAGGCATCGTCTGTCCCCATGATTCCCCTAGGGTTGGGCCTGCAGCAGCCCCCCCCCCTCACCAGTTGTAGGCAAGCTGCAGCTGCAGCCTGGCATGGTCTGCCGTTTCGATGGTGATGACATCTGTGAAGAAGTCCGGCCCGAGCAGCAGGCAGAGTGCACGGCGTGCATGGGGACGCTTGGGCCTCCCAGCCGAGAGGGACAACACGGTGAACTGCTCTTCGGGACCCAGTGACACCAGCTCAGGCCCAAAGACCACACTGCACAGGGAGCCAGGAATCAGATACATAGAGAACCCTTCCCACCTCACCGTCCTCCATGGCTGGTCCCTCAATCCCCAGTGGCCCCTACCTCACTCCCCCCTTGTCACCTTTCCATCACCTGTTCCCCACCCACCCCAATTCCCCCCCCCCCCGCCCCGCTACTAGGTAGTCCCTCACCGAGCTCTCTTCTCTCTGTAGTCATACACCTGCACGGCTGCGTTGTGAGGGACCCGGTAGCTAACTACACGGGTCTTGTTCCGGACAACGGAGGGCTGAAGGGTCTTGGACATCTCCTTCTCTCCCCTGTCTGCCAGAGGGTCCTGCCCCTTGCTCAGCAGCTCCTCCACCCCAGGGGGCAGCTCTTTCTCCCATAGGACTTCATCCTGGGTCAGCATGTAGGTGCTTCCAATCACAGCACGTACCTTGAGAGAAGAGGACAAGGAGGGACATCAGCTGGGAAGGTAAAAGGGAGAAGGACCCAGCCAACAGTCCTGAAACAGCTGGCCCGGGGGTCAGACAGTGCTGTGGTTGGGCATGGTCCCTGGGATGGGGCTGCATCCACAGGCAGCACCTGTTGGCTCCAGCATGGCTTTAGGCCCCCATCCGCAAAACAGACCTGACACTGGCTGCCTCACATTGAGGAATGAATAACCTCTCCCATATCTAGTGCTGAGAACCTGGCATGTGGTAAGGGTTCAATATTATTTCTTCTGGAATGTTCCTTCTCGGGGTAGCTTGGAGAACATCGTAGGGACAGATGCAGTCAATCCTAGGAAATAGGGAATATCCACCAACATTTTCTAGGATTCTGAGCTCTACTTCTAGGTTGGATTTTTTTTTTTTTTTGGTAAGATTTTATTTTATTTTGAAAGAGCTAGAGTGAGCAAGCAAGCATGAGTGAGGGGGAGGGGAAGAGGGAGAGAGAGAAGACTCTCTGCTGAGCAGGGAGCCCAATGTGGGGCTCGATCCCAGAACCCTGGGATCATGATCTGAAGGCCGATGCTTCACTGACTGAGCCATCCAGGTGCCCCTCTAGTGTGGAGTCTTAGAGAGAAGTCAAAGATGTTGTCCTAGATCAAACCATGGTCAAGGCTTCAGATGAGAGGGCAAAGAGGAAGGATTCCACCAGGATAAAGGCATGGGGAAGAGGTTGGTTCTTGCTGTTCCCAGGCCACTCCCCAGTCAGACCTTTATGCTGGGGCCAGTCAGAGCCCCCATCCTAAAACCTGGCTCATCTTCTCCCTTGGGGGTTTCTCAAATTTAAAGTTAGCTATTTAGGGATCCCTGGGTGGCGCAGCGGTTTGGCGCCTGCCTTTGGCCCAGGGCGTGATCCTGGAGATCCGGGATCGAATCCCACGTCGGGCTCCCGGTGCATGGAGCCTGCTTCTCCCTCAGCCTGTGTCTCTGCCTGCCTCTCTCTCTCTCTCTCTCTCTCTCTCTATCATAAATGAATAAAAGTTAAAAAAAATAAAGTTAGCTATTTAATGGGGCGCCTGGGTGGCTCAGTCAGTTAAGTCTCTGACTCTTGATTTCAGCTCAGGTCATGATCTCAGGGTTATGAGATCAAGCCCTGCGTGGGGGGCTCTGCGCTGGGCATGGAGTCTGTTTATTTCCCTCTGTCCCTCTCCCCCACTCCCTCTCTAAAAAGAAAAAGTTAGTGAGTTAGCTATTTAAGACAAAGGGAAGGCAAATACTCCCCAGAATGTCCTTATATCTAGTAGCCAGCCAGCTCAGATGCCACCATCAAGGCTGTCGAAGTCCCCTCCCCCGCCTCCACCCTGCACCTCTCCCTGTCAGCCCCAAGCAAGCTACCACCAGGGCCACACAGCGGTGATGGGGCCCATCCCTTAACCATTACCCTTCCGGTCTTGACATCCTGCACGTAGATGCCCTCATTCTCGTCCAGAGGGATGGCTTGACGCTCTTCCACCACCTCCACCTTGGCAGAGGGCACGTACTCCAGGGGCCCACGGATGAGCCAGTGGTCCCCGGCCTGGTGTGCAACCTTCTCTCCTTCTCCCTCCTCCAGGGGCTGCAAGGCCCTCAGCAGCAGCCCCTGTTGCTCTGACAGCACATATACATCCTGGATGCCTCGTTCCAGTCTCTCTCCAGGCTGGAGGAAAAAGGACTTCTCGCCCTAATGGGGAGTCACGGGGTTAGGAGCAGTCGCCACCCAGGGTTGTCCCTTGGATGGTCCGTCCCTCTTCTGGTTCCTGTGGCCACAGGCTTGTTTTGAGAACAGGAGCCCAAGAAGCACCCTCCCCACACTCCCACTGTGAAGTATCATCTGGATCGTGAGGCTCTTGGCAAATGCCTACATACTTCATCTGGTCGAACCTGCCCTTGATAAATTCTGTAAACTGTCAAGACCTGGACCCTCACAAGCTCAACAGCTAAGCATGAATCTATTGTTGCTCTTCATTTCTCTCATGCCTTGTGTTTCTTGGGATGGTATAGTCTGGGTGTTGGGAGACTGTTGTTGGGTCAAATCTGGCCTTTTTTTTTAACTATATATTTGAGATATAATCTGTATACCAAGAAATTTGTCCATTTAAAGTATACAATTCAAAAATAAATAAATAAAAATAAAGTATACAATTCAGCTCAGTAAGTGGAGCGTGCACCTCTTGATCTTGGGGTTGTGAGTCAAGCCCCATGTTGGATGTAGAGAGGATTTAAAAATAAAATCTTAAAAATAAGTAAATGAAATCAAGTATATAGTTCAGTTGTTCTGGGACATCCACAGAGCTGTCCATTCATGATGATGATCTAACTCCAAGGCATTTTCATCATCCTGAAAATCTGTGTACTCAACAGCAGCTAATGTCCATCTATCCCTACCTGCTGTAACCACTAATCTGTTTTCTATTGCTATGGATTTACCCATTAGGGACATTTTGTATAAATGGAATCATACAATATATGGTCTTTTGTGTGGCCTCTTGCTTAGCGTGATATTTGTTTATCCGTGTTGTAGGTGTTAGTACATGCTGATCATTAGCACACAAGCATCAGTACATATTCTTTATATAATTGAAAGATATTCCACTGTGTGGATATGCCATACAATTTGTTATCCATTCATCCACTGATAGACATTTGGGCTGTTTCTGGAAGCAAAGTGTTACAGGAACACAGAGGCACTCGTTCATTTACAAGCTGTCTATGCTCTTGCTCCAACGGCACAGTTGAATGGTTGCAACAGAAGCCATTACCATTCACAAAGCCCAAAATATCTGCGATCTGGCCCTTCACAGAAAAGTGTGCCAATCCCTGGCAGGCCAGCATATAGTTGAGAGAAGGGTAAGGTAGGGAGTGGGGAGAAGCATAAACCAAGAGATTTGTTTTATGCAGGATGATGACAAAGTTTCCAGGACGGCAGGTACAGATGGGGCTGGGGAGGTGCTCCTAGAAGAGACCGTGTGTGAACTGAGGTTGGGGGCCACCAGGAAGACTGATGGGACAGTGTCTCAAAAGACAAGAGCTAGGGGATCCCTGGGTGGCTTAGCAGTTTAGCGCCTGCCATCAGCCCAGGGCATGATCCTGGAGACCCGGGATCAAGTCCCGCATTGGGCTCCTTGCATGGAGCCTGCTTCTCCCTCTGCCTGTGTCTCTGCCTCTCTCTCTCTCTCTCTCTCTCTCTCTCATAAATAAATAAAAAATCTTTAAAATAAAGACAAGAGCTAGGTGTGCAAAGGCACAGAGGGAGCCATAATAAGCTCAATGCTTCTAGAATGTGTATCTGGGGTGGGAGGAGGGAAGGGAGTGGTCTAAGGGCCTGCTGCCACTCAGGGGCATTCACCCTCCCAGGAGAGCTGGAGGCATTTACCTTGACCACACGCTTTTGCCCGAGCTGGTTCTTGCCATCTGGTCCGACAGGGTCGAGAATCACACAGTAGTTGTGAGAGCCCAAGGTGGTGATGGGCACGATCCCCAGCACCTCCTCGTAGACATCTGGCACATGGGCCTCTGTGTCCTGCACAGTCACCAGCCACTCCTCCCCGGTGCGGCGGGTCACTCCTCTCAAGTCTCGGAAGTTCTGCCTCGCCCGCAGGTGTAGGGCCGTCTGGAGGGCAACATGGCAAGGTGCTGGGCCACTTGAGGAAATCGACCTCTAGTTTCCTCTGGGGATCTGGGTGGCCACTCTGCTGGCCACTGAGTGCTTTCAGGCCTGAATGCCAGTCTCCACCAACACAGGAGGACCTTTAACCCTCTCAGAGGGCCCAGGATATTCCTCAGGTATCCAACCTCTGCATTTTTCTTTGAGTGGACTCAAATATTGCCTCTCTTCTACTGTCATGTCCTCTGCCACTAGTTTCTGCCACTAGGAGTGATCCCTAAGGGATCCAGGGTCCCTTAACCCCCCCAGAGCACAGACCTTTTCTGTGAGGATCACAGCTTCCACCAAATCCAGAACTTCCTCAAACACTGCTGGGAGATACGCACCCACGGAGCGGACCAGCCATTCTTCTCCTGGGCCAAGGGTGGAGAGGTGAGGGTCAAAGTTCACCCAGGCTGCTCCCCAGTGGCTGCCCCTTCCCGCAGCCTAAACAACAGGGCACCCCCAAGACTCTGCAGGCTAGGAGAGGTCACTGTGCTCAGGCTCAAGGGCCTGACGGTAGGCCATGTGTTAATTTTTACTGAGGCCAGAGAAAAAAAACAACCCCTAACCAGGACAGTAAGAAAAGTCATCTAAGTGCTCAAGCTGCTACCACACCTTCTCTGAGCTCCAAAGACCAACTTTTCCCTTCTCCTGAAGTGGGCAGAACTGCCTCTAGGGAGTTGTAGATTTTGTCTGGCTTATCAGAGAAGCAAGAGTGCCTGGGTACTGGCCTTGCCCTTGCTCATCATAAATCCCAGCAAGTGACCTCACATCTGTGCCTCAGGTCATCTGGAGAGTGAGAACCGTAGCACCTCTAGGTTGAGGACGAAGTAAGTTCCCATCTGTAAAGCATTTTGAGCCATACCTGGCACAGAGAGAGTACTGCATTTGTTAAGACATTAACATATCACATTTGTCCAGTACGATTGCTAACTATATGCGAACATCTGCTTTGTTGATCTAGAAACAGATATGACTGCTGTCCCTGGCTCATGGTAAAAGGAGTGGGGTGTGGAGGTGGAAGGAGGAAAAAGCCATGTCAATACATTCATGATAACAGGGTCAGGTAGAGGCTGCATGAGGCTGGAGTGGGATGCGAAGCAGTGGGCAGCCTCCAAAAGTTTATACCACCAGGGAAGCACTTCCTCACAGGCTGCATGCAAGTGGCTGTCCCCAACCCTGCAGGCAAGGTACAGCCTGCTCAGCCCCATCAGCACCCCTTCTCAATCCCACCTGTCACCCTCTCCTTGCCGTCCCGGTCGCAGCACTCCTTGCGGGCCCTCAGCCGCAAGGCCTGGTTCTGCCTTATGACTGTGGCCTGAATGATCTCCAGGACCTCCACCTCCTTCTGGGGGATATACGTGCCTGGGAAGGGAAGAGATGGCAGAGGTTAAAGACCAGAGCCTTAAGGGAAGGGCAGGGAGTCTCTGACCCTGACTCCAGCCAATGGAAGGAACTTACCGGGTCCTTCAAATAGCCACTCATCTCCTGCCACCACCTTCTCTCCATTCTTATCCTCAAAATCCAGCAATGCTTTAAGGTGGAGGGCAGTGTTGGGAAGAACCACCTGCAGTGGGGTAATGTCCTAACAGGGGAAGAAGGGAAGTCATGGGACATTAAGTACTGTGACCCAAGAGTCAAACCCAATATCTTGGAGGTCGGAGTCCACAGCATCAGTCTTTACATGTTCCCAGATAAGCCTCCACATGGAATGTACAAGGCAGAGGTTAAGTCCCAAAGCCATCTGATCTGAAGAACTAAGACAGTTGACAGGGCAAGTGGACTCCACTGCCAGTGAGCCAAGGACACACATTTCTCTGTAGGAAGTGCTTGGAAATGGTTCTGACCTAGAAGTCTAGGCAGGAAACTGGGCAACCCCTCAAGGCCTCATGTGCACCAGGGCCCTCTACGAAATGTAAGGAAGTGGGAGGTGTGAACAACCTTAACAGGCATGCTTTGGACACAGGGTTTTGTTTTCAAGGTTGTTTCATGGTCACAAGACAGCTGCTGTACTACAGCCATTACATTTCCCTTCATCAGGGAGGGGAACCTGGCAACAAGTATCCAAACCTTTTAGGAGTTCATAGAAATGTTTCCACGAGTAGGACTTCACTTGGTCTTTGATCTGAGGGAGCAAGAAAGCAAGCAAAGAGAGGCTCATAGAGGCTAAGAGACCTGCCCAAGGTCACACAACTAGTAAGGAACAGGAATCAGGACCTGAACCACAGTCTTTTAAAGAAGCCCACCTGCCACTCCTTACTCCAATCAGAGTAGCCAGGGGTGGGGGTGGTCAGATAACACCACTCTCCCCACTCCCACACGCAAGGTTGGAGGGAGACAGAGTTGGAGGTTCACTGTGCCAGCAAAGCCCTCCCTTGTGCACCTTCAGTGTACACAGCACCCGGCGGGTTGTGGTGGGGGCAGGCTAGCCCCAGCTTCATGGATTGCAAGTTCCAGCAGGTGATAAGACAGATACAGCCCCTTCTCTTCAAGCAGACCATGGACAGTGTCAAGGGAACCAGGTTGCAAAAGTTCAAAGAAGAGCTTGTTTCTGATGCAAAGGTGTGGGAGGAGGAAATGGTGAGCATTCTGGAAGGAGCAGGGAGGCCAGTGGGTTTTTCACCTCACACATCTACTCTATCATCACCTCCTACCTGCTCCAGCGAACCCTATAACTGCCTTTATCTATTGCTGCCATTCCCCTCACCTAAGCTACCATCTCTCACCTGAACAATGGAAAGATCCTCCTAATTGGTCTCCACCTGCCACTGCAGGCTTCCAGCTTGGGTGACTGGGTACCCAGTAGTATCATCATGTAAAATTGGGGATGTAGGAGAACAGATTTGAGGGCAGAACAGAAAGTAGCAGGTTTGGATGTCCAGTAGGAGGTTAAGCATCTGACTTTGGCTCAGGTCATAATCTCAGGGTCGTTGGATATGGAGTCCAGCATCAGGCTCCCTCCCTGCTCAGTAGGGAGCCTGCTTCTCCCTCTCCCTTTGCCCCTCCCTCCCAACTCGTGTACATTCTTTCTCAAATAAAATCTAAAAAAAAAAATTAAAAAACCCCAACCCAGGGCAGCCTGGGTGGCTCAGAAGTTTAGTGCCGCCTTCAGCCCAGGGCATGATCCTGGAGACCCGGGATCTAGTCCCGCGTCGGGCTCCCTGCATAGAGCCTGCTTCTCCCTCTGCCTGTGTCTCTGCCTCTCTCTCTCTGTTTCTCATGAATAAATAAATAAAGTCTAAAAAAAAAAAAAAACAAAAAAACAAAAAAACCCAACCCAGGGACAATCTGATAGCTCTTATGCAAATGGTTATAGTTCATATATAAATATGTAATACATATTTTTATATTTCTTTTATATATATATATATATTTTTTTTTTACACATACTCTGCTAACGCATAAACACATATGGAAACACAGACCTTGAATGGATGACAGTAGATACTATCTGGAGAATGGAGACCAGAGATTGGTGGTGGAAGTCAGAACCTTACACCTTCTGAATTCAATTTTTTTAATTTAAATTTTGTTAATCTACAATGCAATATTGGTTTCTGGAATAGAATTCAGTGATTCATCCCTTATATACCAAATGTATTCTTTAGAATGAAAAGCTCACACAAGTAAGCCTTTAAGGGCAGAAAAGGATGGAAGAGGGGATCCCTGGGTGGCGCAGCGGTTTGGCGCCTGCCTTTGGCCCAGGGCGCGATCCTGGAGACCCGGGATCGAATCCCATGTCAGGCTCCCGGTGCATGGAGCCTGCTTCTCCCTCTGCCTGTGTCTCTGCCTCTCTCTCTGTGTGTGCCTATCATAAATAATAAAGAAAAAAAAAGAAAAGGATGGAAGAGGCAAAGCATGTTTATTGGTCAAGAGAAAGGCATCAGTAGTGGAGAAGTTAAAGACAAAGGAAGGAGAAGCTCTAAGAAGTGGGGGAGCAAGGTCTTAAGAGATAGAATGGGGGACACCTGGGTGGCTCAGTGGTTGAGCGAATGCCTTTGGCTTGGGGCGTGATCCCAGCTTAGGGATTGAATCCTGCATCAGGGTCTCTGAGGGGAGCCTGCTTCTCCCTCTGTGTCTCTGCCTCTCTGTGTCTCTCATGAATAAATAAAAACTTAAAGAGAGAGAGAGAGAAAGAATGATATAAACTTAACTAAGGAGGTGAAAGACCTATACTCTGAAAACTATAAAATACTGGTGAAAGAAACTGAAGATGACAAACAAATGGAAAGATATTCCACACTCATGGATTGAAAGAAATATTGTTAAAATGTTTATGCTACCCAAAGCAATCTACAGATTTAATGCAATCCCTATCAAGATACCAACAGCATATTTCACAGAACTAGAACAATCCAAAAATTTTATGGAACTACAAAGAACCCTGAATAGCCCAAACAGTCTTGAAAAAGTAAAACAAAGCTGGAGGTGTCACCATTCCAGATTTCAAGTTATGCTACAAGAGCTGTAGTGATCAAAGCAGTATAGGACTGGCACAAAAACAAAACACATAGATCAATGGCCAGAATAGAGAGCCCATAAATATAGCCACAATTTTATGGCCAATTAATCTTCAACAAAGGAGGCAAGAATATGCAATGGGAAAAAGTCTCTTCAACAAATGGTATTGGGAAAACTAGACAGTTACATGCCAAAGATGAAACTGGACTTTCTTACACCAGGCACAAAAATTAATTTAAAATGAATTAAGGATCTAAATGTGAGACCTGAAACCATAACAACCCTACAAGAGAGCATAGGCAATGATGTCTCTGACATCGGCTGTAGCAACATTTTTCTAGATAGGTCTTCTGAAGCAAGAGAAAAAACAAAACAAAACAAAAAAAAAAAGCACAAATATCTATTGAGACTATATCAAAATAAAAAGCTTCTGCATAGCAAAGGAAACAAAACTAAAAGACAACCTACTGAATGGGAGAAGATATTTGCAAATAACATATCTGACATTCAAAATATATAAAGAACTTATACACAACTCAACACCAAAAAGTAATTCCATTAAAAATGGGCAGAAGACATTTCTCCAAAGACACCTAGATGGCCAACAGACACATGAAAAGATGCTCAGCATGACTCATCATCAGGGAAACGCAAATCAAAACCACAAGGAGATATCACTTCACATCTGTCAGAACGGCTAAAAGAAAAAAAACACAAGAAACAATAAGTGTTGGCGAAGATGTGGAGAAAAAGGAACTCTCGTGCACTGTTGGTGGAAACAGAAACTGGTGCTGCCACTCTGGAAAACAGTATGGAAGGTCCTCAAAAAATAAAAAAATAGAACTCCCTTACCATCCAATAATCACACTCCTGGGTATTTACCCAAAGAATAGGAGCACACTCATTTGAAAGGATATGTGCACTCCAATGTTTATTGGAGCATAAATATTACTAGCCAGTAAATTAAACTAGCTAGTAAATTATTTACTAGCCAGATTATGGAGGCAGCTCAAGTGTCCATCAATAAAGGAATGGATAAAGATATATATAAAAAAGATGTGATACATATATATAATGGAATATTACTTAGCTATAAAAAAGAATGAAATCTTGCCATTTACAAAAAAAAGAAAGAAATCTTGCCATTTACAATGATGTGGATGGATCTAGAGAAGATAATGCTAAGCAAAATAAGTCAGAGAAAGATAAATAACCTAGGATTTCACTCATATGCGGAATTTAAGAAACAAATTAATAAAGGGGGGGGGGGAGACAAAGCAAGAAACAGACTCTTAACTATAGAGAACTGATAATTACCAGAGGGGGAACGGTAGTGGGGTGGGGGAAATAGGTGAGGGGTTAAGAGTGCATTTACTGTGATGAACAGAGTCTGGCATGGAATTGTTGAATCACTATATAATGTACTATTGTCTGTTAATTACATTGGGATTAAAATAAAAGAGAGAGGGAGATACAGAATGACAAGTTGGGTTCCTGGGCCCACCTGACAGAGGCTCCAGCAGGTAGAGAGGAGAAAAAAGTAGATCTAAAGTAGGGAAGGGGACACAGACCAGATCCTGCCAGATGGCGTTGACTTCTAAGCACATGATGAATTTTTTCAAGAGTGAGAAGATAGGAAATAGGAGGAGAGTGCTGTGATAAGTATTTAGAGGCATGCAGAGAGAAGTGGAGAGAAAGCTGGCTAGGAAGGAAAAGAACCACTGAATGTGGGGGGAGCGGGGCTTGGGTTGGGATGAACTGCTGACCCCATCAACTACATGTCTGCTGCCCATTGTCTTGGTGGATCCATGTCCATAGCTAGGAGACACCCCCCACCGAGTGTGAGGACAGGACAGGGGAGGGTCCCATCAAGCCAGGACTGGGTTCTGCCACAGGTTCTTGCACACAAGTGTTAAAATGACAAGCTTGGGACACCTGGGTGGCTCAGCAGTTGGGCATCTACCCTTGGCTCTGCGTGATCCCGGAATCCCGGGACTGAGTCCCACACCGGGCTCCCTGCATGGAGACTGCTTCTCCCTCTGCCTGTGTCTCTGCCTCTCTCTCTCTCTCTCTCTCTCTCTCTCTCTCTCTCTCATGAATAAATAAATAAATAAAATCTTTAAAGGGAAAAAAAAAAAAAGACAAGACAGGCCATGATGACCCAGGAGGCCTAGGAAAGGGAGGCTGATGGTGAAGAGGGTGGGGTTGAATTCCCAAGGTGGGCAGGTGGGAGAATAAGCAAGCCCAGAGTGCACATGGCCCCCAAGAAGGGGCTGAAGCAGAACGGGAGAGGCAAGGATCCAAGTCGGGCAAGAAGGCCAAGTCATCGACAGGGTCATCACAAGGACATCTGTGAGGCTCCCCAGAATCTACAGGGAGGAGGAAGGAGGGACGCTTGAGCCACGCACCACTGCAGTGAAGACCAGGAAAGAAGCCATATGGGCAGAGAGGGGCAAGAGTGGGGGTGGTGGGTAGAAAGGGAGGGTCTCCAGGGCACTGGGCTCTGAGGAGGGAGAGGTCCTGCCCTCCTGGCCCAGATGATGTGAGGTGTGAAAGAATGAGTGGCAGGGGGCTGGGGCTCCTAGGGAGCTTTAGGCACTGGTGCCTGATGACTCCCCCACACTCCCATACACACTGCTCCCCACCCAGAGGGGAACTGAACAGACCTGAGGTAGAACCTGGGCATGGAGGATTTTTAGCTTTCGACAGTTTTAGACATACACAGAAGTTGCTAGAATAGTACAAAGAATTCCCTTGAGGCTCAGATTCCTCAAGGGTTAACATTCTAATTACCCATCAGCCCTCCCTATCTCTGCTGCACATACTCCTCTTCCAAAGTGGCCACCGCTAAGTGGGCAAGAAGGTCTCAAAACTCCCTGGCTCATGCCGTGAGGCTTCCAGGATCACAGCTGAGTAGAGGAAGCCAGAGTAAACCAGGATACAATGGCCAGGAGGTGAAAGCAGGACCGTTAAGGACATAAAGGCAGATGCCCACTTGCGTGGGCCCAGGGCCTGAGGGTGACACAGACAAGGGCTCAACCAGAAGCGCAGGCCTGAGATGTGGTTCTGTGGCATAGTCACATCGGGTCCACTATTATCATCACTGGCCACCAGTGTCCCACTGTTTGAGTGAATGAAATGCTCACTCTCGGCAAAGTCATTTAGCACCAGACTGGTCAGGACCTTCTAGCAGGCTCTGGAGACTGGGAGGCCAGGTTGGGAGAATGCACTGACAGCTCTCAAACGGGGGCAAGTCTGTCATGGGCATGTGAGGAGGAAGGGGAGTATGGTTAGAGATGAGTGGAGGAAGCAAGAATTCCGTCCTTGGGGAGAACCACCAAATGCCACCCCCCACCTCCGCCCCCTCCAGTCTGATTCTCTGTGGGAGGTAGAGAGCCCTAGGACAAGGGGGCAGTACAGGTTGGAGGTTACGGAGGAAGCAAGCTAGGTACCTTCTCCAGCACCTCCCCCGGGTACAGAGGGAAGGGGTCCTGGGTCAGCCGGATCTCTAGGTCAGCATGGCGTAGCCGTACTTGCCCTGTAACATCGAACAGCACTGAGCCCTGAGGATCCCGGGACACAGGGTTGGCCACTGTGCAGTAGTGGCGTGGAGGGACAGTCACCATGCGCATGGGGGCAAACAGGACCCTGTTGGGGGTGAGAGACAGTGTGAGAACCCCAGGAGATCCCTGTCCCCACTCCTGGAGGGGACAGTGAATGGGATAGAAAGCTCCCCATCACTCAACCCCAGGCTAATCCTGCCTGGGAACAGGATGGAGAAGGACAATCGTGCCAGCCAGACTAAGGGGCACCCCATGGCCCAGTCCCGACACCAACCTCTCATTGTCCTGCCGGATGTAAGTCTTTGGCCCGACCTCCACACGGGACACATTGCTGTTCTGGTCCAACACGTGGATATAGTGGTATGGGGGGATGCGTATGATGGACTCTTCAGTTGCCATGGTGACTTCTGAGGCCAGACCAGCAGAGTGACAGACAGGTAGAGAGCAGATACAGCAACATGAGTACAGGGGGCCTAGCAATCAGCTGGATTAGAAACACCAAATATTCTAGTCCTTTCCTCCCCAGCTCTCTCTGGTCAGTTGCCACTCTTGGTTTCCTGCTGCTGTGGGTAGGGGTGGTGGGTGGGAAGGGAATAAGTGAGTACATATCCCAGCGCCCCCACCCCAACTTACCTGCTTCTAAATCCTGGGTGGTTCCACTCCATGCTTGGCCTGTTCAGGAGGGTGGCACCTCTTCCCTAAACTCCATCCCTGCCCCCAGCATGCCTTGGACCTTGGACAACACAGCCCTTGGCATCACACAAAGGGAATCAAGTTTGCTAGGGGACCCAAAGCCTTGTCCTCTGAGACTTTGGTCAGACATTTTCGAAGCCACCACCAGAAAGGAGTGACACCTCATCTACCCCACCATTCATCCAACTTCAGACTGGAGTGAAAAAAGGGGAAGCGAGGAGGGAGTGGCTTGCCACAGGAAAAATAGGCAGAAAACACATAAATTACAGAGCCAAGGCAAGGCCCAAGAGTTTTACTTGATCTACACAATCTGTAAAATCTCAATTTTTAGTTTAGCAATCACAAACTCCTGATTGCTACTTCTCTTGAAGGATTAGGGGCCATGCCCTATGTTCCCACCTAGCAAAATTGGGTAGAGCCAAGTCACAGCAGCTCCCTTTGGATGGGACACAAGCTTTCCTATTTACCACACTTCCCACCTATAGTCCCTGTCATCTTGTACCTGGGCCACTGTACTATGTCACCTGCCTGGCTCCTGCTTAACACCCTCTCAGCATCATCCAACAGAATTTTCTAAACCTGTGCTCTTTGCACTGGTCACACGCAGCTACTGAATACTAGAGCGGCACTAGAGTAACTTTAGAATATTAAGTTTTATTTAAGGTGGCCAAATATGGCTGCTTGATCCCAGATTACACAGTGTGGCTCAAAATGGTTGAGTCCCAAATAGGGACTACGAATCATTCAGGGCCACACAGCAAATAAATGGTACTACTGGGATGGGAATCCTTTCTGGTGGCAGCACGGGACAGTGGTTAGGGGCACCGATTCAGCTAGAATGCCCAGGCTTACAGTTCCATTTTCCTGCCTTGTACTGTTTCCTTCACGTCTTACCTCATTTTGAAAGGTTACAGTTTTGACCTCTTTTCCTGGTACACTTTTGACATCAAAGGAATGTTCCTTGGCTATCTTGCAACTTTGTATGGGATTTGACCTTGATACTTTTCTGTGGCTCCCTTTTATGTGGAGTTAATTTCCCTTAACTTGTAGGAGTGGCTTTTCTAGCACCAGAGCTCCCTCTTCTGTTGTTTTTGGGTAGCATTTGAAAATACAGGGGCTGGCTTTCCAGGATGGGTTCTCCTCCCCACTCTTATCTGGACCTTCTGGTTCCTTCTGCTCTACTCTTCAGTCCTGCCCAGCTGTCTTCCAAAGTTGCTCCCTGCTGAAGCCCCTGAAGAGCCTCCAGGAGCTGGGACTGCCTAGATCCCTTACTGGATGGGTCACCTGGTTGCCTTCCCTGTACCTGTTTCCCAGGCCTGTAAACTGGGAGTGGATAGGGCATCTAACAGAGTTATGAGGGCTGAGGTCATTGTAAAGTAGTTGGAACAGCCCGGCTCTTCGGAACCACTATGTGGCTCACTGCTGAGGCAGAAAGAGCCTGAGGCCCAACTCCTTTAATCAGCTAGGGGATGTGGCCTAGTACCAGAGGGGCCTTAACCCCCTCCTTGTTGACTGGCCAGAAGGATGGCAAGTCTTAGATCACCCCAGCTGTGGGGCTAGAAGAATAGCAAACAAAGAAGGGGTATCTGATGGCCAAGTAAAGCCTTTTCCAGCTGCTCCTTTGCCAAGTTCTCTGCAGGGTGGAAGCCTAGCCAGGAAGCCAGATGGGGGAGAAGAAGGGCAAGGGCTATAAACGGAGGAACGGACAGGGCTCCATGAGGCCCCCCAGGGAAGATCTGAACTCTAGAAGGCCATGCAGGGCTGGGAAGCAGGCCCCAGGAACAGCCTCCAATGACTCTTTTTTGGACAATCCCCTACTCCCTATGGCTGAGGCCTCTCTACCATCTGTCACCCCAGCTGGGCCCAGTCAGGGGGGTTGAGAGCCTCGCCCAACTCAGTGAGTCAGCTGAGAATTATTCTGATAGCTTATCTGGCTGGGCTTCTGCCTTGTTCCAAAGCCAAGCCCTTGTTTCAGTCCCAGGCCCATCTTAACCCCCTACCACCCATCCACTATGCCCTACAGCTGTGCCTCCCACCTAGATCACCTGCTATTCACCCAAGAATGGACTCTGCTCTTTTCTGTCATCTCTAGAACGGAGCCTCAATGTAAGGCCTCTCCAGGCAATCAGAGAACCCACTTGACTCAGGCAACATGTTTGTGACAAGTCCCAGATTTAGACTTTGTGGTTTACCAGATGACATGTACAGTTAGAACATTTTCTTTCCAATATATCGGGGCCCTCAAAGAACAATGGTTAAGGATTATGTTGATCTTTGGAAGTTACTGCTCAGCCCTTGGGGTTTGGCCCCAATATTCCAAATCCACCCATCTCTCCCCTCCAGTACCAGCTTCCTAGTCTGCTCTCTGGCTACATGCCCACCTTTGCCTGATCACACTGCCCTCAAGGGTCATGGGGCTCTTGCAGGAGCCAGTCAACTTTTGCCCAAAACCTCAGACACTGCATCACACCCACGAAGAAAGGAAGAAAGTCACAGGTGGAAGGGCAGGGAATAACACAACCTAAAGGCAGAAGCTGGGTTCCTCCTCTAGTTAAGAGGCACTCTGGTCCAGCGTCTTGGCTCAGAAGTAAACTTACACTATAGCAAAGCTTAATGAGATTCTTTGGTCACTCTTGGTCAGAGATCTTCAGAGTCAACCCTGAGGACCTGCTGCAGTGACTCAAATAGCAGATACCTGTGTGACCAGCCTTACTACCGTGTCCTGGTCTGCAGTGAGCAGTGTTCACATCACCGGCAGCTTGTTTGTGAGGGAGCTTCTTGGGCTGCACTCAAGAGCTGCTGAATCGGCTGGCATTTTAACTAGAGCCCTAGTGATTTGGGCACATGTGAAAGTGCCAGCAACACTGGCCTCAAGCAGCCACTCTCAGCCCTAGCTGTACTTGAGAATCACCTGAGGTCTTTGAAAAGCATTGATCTCTGGGGATTCTGACATCAGTGGCCTGAGATAGGGCACAAGCATTGCCTTTTTTCACCCCCTCCCAGTAGGGTCTATGCTCAGCGTGGAGCCCAACACAGGGCTTAAACTCACCACCCTGAGATCAAACCTGAGCTGAGATCAAGAGTTCAATGTAGGGGAGCTTGGGTGGCCCAATCAGTTAAGTAGCCAACTCCTGACTTAGGCTTAGGTCATGATCTCAGGGTCGTGAGATGGTACCCTGCATTGGGCTCAAAGCTCAGTGCAGTCTGCTTGGGACTGCCTCTCCCTCTGCCCCTCCGCTTGCACATGTGCTCTCTCTTGCTCTAAATAAAATACCTTAAAAAAAATAGAAAAAAAAGGTTGAGGCTACACAGACTGAGCCATCCGGGCATCCTGACCATTACTGTATTTAAAAGCTTCCCCACTAAATCTAATACACAGCAAGGACTGAACTCTGTCATTATCTTGGGCCACTTGTTAACTCTGAGCTGGAGTGTCCTAGACTGAGAAGTGGAAAGAAAAGGGACTATTTCCTGGGCTTGAAGAGATTAGTGGCCACAGGGTATCTCTAGTGCACAGGCTCAAAGTAGGGGGCTGGGAGGAAGGAGGGAGATTTAAAGACAAGCTCAGATTACAGACTGCTTCTCAAGGGCAGGGCATTTGGCATTTGGTTATTCACCTCCAGCCCAATCCACTGCCAGGCCCAGGGACCCCCTAGCCAATGCAAGTCCCCTGCCCCACGCAGCCTGAAGTCGGAGGGGAGGCCGGTGGCCCGGCCTGCCACCATCATCTCTATCAAACTCAGGTTTAGGAAAATGCACGATGCCTAGCATAAACAAGGGCTCATTATTGCAGCTTCCCTGATTTTAAACATTCTAGACTTTGGGGACGGCAAGAAGCCTTCACTATGCACAGATGTTTATACGCTGGTTTAGTTTAGGGAAATTATTTTCCGCTTTAGGGGACTAGAGTGGAAATTTTTGAGAGCTTGTCTCATACTGACCACAACTGTTTAAGAGCAAAGTTTTAGGAACTTTCCTTCCTAGGGAAGACTTATCTGAGCTCCAGTCCAACTACTTTGTGGGAGGAGCAGCTTGGTGGCCTCACTGGAGCCACAACACATCTGCCAGCTCAGAATGCTTCTTGTCCTATCTTCATCCTACCTCCCAGATGCTAATTAATGCTCATCACTGAAGGCAATGATTGCCTAGTTGAGAAGTGACCCAGGAACCAGGCTTCACAATTCCTGATCCAGATCAGTGTTTTCTAAGCTCACTCCATCATAAGACCCAGCTGAGAGCATTGCTCCTGTTCATGCTGATTCCCAGGCCTCACCCAGACCAGCTGAGTTTCCAGGAGGCTCCGAACATGTATCTTTGGCAAGTGCCCCCAAATAACAGCTCCCACTTATTAAGGAATTAACCTGTGCTAGGTGTTGTGTGCCTTTTAACTCATTCATCTAATCCTCACAGGAACCTAGAAGTTAAGGAACTTTGCACAACGATCAAAGGACAGGGTCAGAATCCTGTCTCTTACCCTACCTGCAGAGCTCCCAAACCAGGAAGTAGCCTGGCTTCTCAGCACAAAACAGGGACCTAAGACCAGGGAGGGAGTTGGGGGGGGGCGGGGGGGGAGAGAGGCCGCAGGTAGCCTCCAACAGACAAGGAGGCCCAAGTTCTTGGAGCCCTGGGCAGGGCGGGGGGGGGGGGCGGTCAAGGGGCATCCACTCAAGGTGGCTCCTCTACCAGCTCCTGCCTCTGGAGAGCTGCCTCACCCAGAAAGCTTCACCCCAGGTCAGGCCTGTGTGCCAAGGGCAGAAACAGGCAGGAGTTCCCAGGGAGCACACAGGCTGGCACCCCATGTAACAGAAGGCTTCCCCCTCACAATCCAGGGTTCCCCCAGGGCAAGGAGCAGACAACACAGGGACATCTGTCTCAACCCACTGTCTCCCACCCCTCCAGACTTCACTCAAGAAGAGCCAACCCTAAGATGTCCACAATCACAGACTGGCAAGCCCAAAGGAATTTTGGGTTCCTTCATTTCTCCCAAAGAGAAAAAGAGCCTTGCTCAACAACCAACCCCCACACCTTCTAGAAGTCCAGCCTGCCTCAAATCGCTTTCCTAACCACTTCCCACATGGTCCCACATTGGCACAGCCTTTAGTGAGGCAATAGGAAAGCTTCATTTGGCAGAGATGAAGGATCCCGGGGGCAAGGGTGGGAGAAAACACATTCTAAAAGCTCAAAAGAGGGATCCCTGGGTGGCTCAGCAGTTTAGCGCCTGCCTTTGGCCCAGGGCGTGGTCCTGGAGTCGGGGGATCGAGTCCCACGTCGGGCTCCCTGCATGGAGCCTGCTTCTCCCTGTCTCTGCCTCTCACTCTGTGTCTCTCATGAACAAATAAAAAAAAACTTTAAAAAATAAATAAAAGCTCTAGAGGACGGGCCAGAGCCCAGGCCAGCCCCGAGGGGGAGCAGACAGCAGGGACCCAGGAGGGAGTATAAATGCACCCACTTTCCTCTGCCCTTACTTCTGATGTGGGAGCCCCCGAAGTCGAGAGGCCTGAGATTTTGGGGGGTAGGGAGTGTTGGCAAGGTAACAAGTTGACCAACCTTTACTTTTGAAATACAGAAAAAATTTAAAAAAACCAACAAGGAACGTAAGCCTCCACCCACCTTCTCCCTCCTCAGGGTCAGAGAGGTCTTACCTGCCCCGGCAGAAGTAAGGGGACCTAGAAGGCAGGACCAGGCTTGGAGAGCCTAGAGGGACACAAGGCCCCACCACTCGTTTAGGGGTGTTTAGGACCAGTATGAAGTATACCCGGAAGAGTGTCTGCTGCCACAGATCCCTCAGATGGGGAAACTCCCTGGCCCAGCCCCAGGGATCACTTCCTGACAGAGGAGGGCAAGCTTGGGGGTGGGGCTTGGCCATTTAAAGAGCCCTTGCAGCTGGTTCTCTCATTTTTTTCCTATGGGCGGCTCCTCTGGCAGCTGAAGGCACTGCAGCCCTTTCAGCCCTCAGGAAGGTCCCGCCTCAGAGCCAGCTGGCAGCACTGGAACGAGAATTGGGGGCAGATGCTGAGCTCATCTCTGTCCCATGTGGCTTTAATTTTCGTTTCCTCACCTGAGTGACTAGGATCCTGATCTGGCTGCTCCACAACCGGGTTCCTGCTGCAGCCCACCCTCTAGAAGAAAATAACTTTGTGTTTTTTTTATTCTAGATTCCAAAAATTCAGCCCAGGTCTCCAAATAAATGTTCAACAGAAAGCATAAATACACACACATGTCCTCTTTCTGGCAAGGTGCGGTGTTGGGAGCTTGGGAGCTCTCTCCTCTTGCCCAGTTCCCAGTGTCCAGAGTTAGGGAAGGAGAGCCCAGAAGGTATAAGCTCTGCATGCTAAAGGCTGCAACAACACTCAATATTTCCGTTGCCGGGGAAAGAGTGTGCTCCCTGAGGACCGGAGCGGGGGGCTGGTGGGGCTGGGGTCCTCTGAGTCCAGGCTGAAGAGATCCCTGCCAGTACGAAGGATCTGCTCCTCCAGCTTCTTGTGTCGCTTCATGTCTGAGAGGACCTTGTCCAGGCGGGCCTCCCGTTTCTGGCTCCGGGCGGAACTTCCTGGAGAAGAGGAAGGTAAGAAATGTGGACGGGAGTGAGGTGCTGTGCTCCAGACCTGCCTACATATTACTCATTGCTTAGGGAGCTCATTAAACAGATTTTCAGGTCTCTGTCACGGAGGTTGTAGGGTTTGAGGTTGGGCCTCAGATGGGGTAAGCAGTAAAGGGCTGACTTACAAGAAGGAGCCAGTAATGTGAAAACCAAGGTAAAGATATCCAGGCAGGGGAAGAGCAAGTGGAAAGGCCCCAGAGCAGGAACAGGGAGGTTTGTTCAAAGGGTATAGAGAGCTGGGGTATGGCAGGGAGAAGGAAAGTTGTGGCCCAAGAAACAACTCTGAGGCCATGATGAAAGTTTGGATATCTTAGGTCAAACGGAAATAAATTATCTTTGGAAACTTTGGCGGCCCAAAAAAAGTCAGGGGGAGTTGTGGTGTTTGGATTCCCTCTTGATATGCTCTTTCCCCCAACAATGGAATCCTTTGGAGAATTTTAAATCAAGTAGTGACATGATTTATATTTTGAAAGGATCATTTTGGTTGCTGAGGATGGACGCAGGGAGGCCAGTTACAAGCCATGGCAAATATCCAGGCAAAAGAAATGATGGCTTGGGGGTGCCTGGGTGGCTTAGTCGGTTGGGCTTCTGACTCTTAATTTCAGCTCTGGTTGTGATCTCAGGTTTGTGAGATCCACCCCTCAGGATGGGTTCTGGGCTGGGAGTGGAGTCTGCTTAAGATTCTCTCTCTTCCTCTGTCTCCCCTGCCCGCCCTCCCCAGGAATGTCCTCTCTAAAAGAAAATAAAGAGAAAGAGAAATGATGGCTTGGATGAGGGTGTGGGCTGAGGGTGGAGAGTAGCAGATGAGCTTGGAAATGTGGAGGCAGGGCTAAACAGGACTTGCTGCTGGTTTAAATGCTGGGGTGAGAGAAAGAAATCAAGAATGGCTCCAACAGTAAATTCCAGGAAGGCACTTGGAGTGTGAAATCAGGTCAGATTAGGAGATATACACAGTGGTATAGGGATAAGGACGGAGAAGACTTGAACTTCTAGGGAGATGGAGATAAAAGGAATGGGAAGCATGATAGAACCATCTGTCAGTCTCATAAAGAAGACAGGGTATCTATCCAAGCTGTTAATGATGGCACCGCTTGGTGAATGCTCTCTCCTGCAGCTACAAGTTGTGTATAGCAATCAAGGCACCAAACACAGGCCTCTCCTCAGGAGTCGCCTTTCAGGTCAGTGGGAGTAGAGGTCCTTTACCTCCCCCCTACTCTCCCCCTTTGTACCTGGGGTGCGTCTCCGGTCAATCAGGGAGTCCTTTGGGGTCATTGGCTCATCGTCAAAGTCAAATTCTGTAGGCATGTGCGGTCTGGGACAGGTGGACAGAGTGAAAAGTGAGGGTGGTCTCCCCAAACACCCCAGCCTGAGGGTCTCCCCCCACACCCCTTGCAACCCTCTACTTTCCATGCTCCAAGGTCCCACCTCCCCACCCAATTTTCTCTTGGCACCAAGAGAGCAAGCCCCAGCAACAAAGTGTAAGGGTGTGCCCTCACTTTTCCTCTTCCTCTTCTTTGGCTTCAGGCTCCTCATCCGATCTCTCCTCTTCACTCTGGGCCTCAGGCGTGGGTGGCCGGCGGGGCAGGATCTCAGCCTGAAGCTCCAGGGTACCGTGGGCAGCCAGAAGTTCATAGAGCCGCTGGATTTCGGAGGGGGGAGGCATCCAGGCCTGCCCATCTGCGGGCAGCTCCATCTCCTCATCGCTGCAGGGTACGCACCAGTCTTCGGATTCTCCCTTGGCATGCTCTTCCCCTTCGGTGCTGGGGGCTTCTTCCTGCACCTCCTCGACCCCGGGCCCCTCAAGCTCGGTCTCCTGCTGGCCTCCTTCCCCCTCTTCCTCGGCTTTATTGGCCGAAGCAGAGGACCCTCCGGTATCCTCCACCGCCAGAGCTTGGAGGCCAGAGGTCACCTCCCCTTCTTCAGACAGGGGCGCCGCCGTGGTGGCCGAAATGTCTCCATGACCACGAACAAGGGACATAGGCTACTAGGGGAGGGGCCCTGCGATGGTAGGAGATGCAGGAGTACTAAACCAGGGGGGTCTCCCGCCCCCCTCCCCCGAGGGATTGGGCTCCCCAGGAGTTCAGGGAATGTCTCCAACCGGGCTCCAACAGCAGTCCCAGCGACGAGACTGCCGGTTCCCAGGAGGGGGCGCTGAGTCCCCTCCAAGGACCCCGCCCCACGGATCCAGATCCGGTACTCCGAGATTCCTAGGGACCAGCGGAAACCACTTTCTGGGCCGGAGAGGGCGTGGAGACGCTCTTCTCGCCTTCACACCGCCCCTCTCTACACCGGGATCCGGCGCCCTCTCCCCACACCTCGCAGTTCAGCTACCTCAGCCGCCGTACGCACCTGGAGCTAGGACCCGCCTCTCGGGCTGCGCAGGGTCACGGTACGCAGGCGCACAGAGATGGCGCGGAAGTCTCCGCTCTAGCCAAAGCTACTTAGAAAAGGAAAGCAAGGGGAGGATTGCACATGCGCAGGTAGGCTCGGGCACAATTGGCTTCGACCCACAGTAAAGATGGCCACCGGGACGACGCATGCGCAAACACCCAGCAGGCTCTGCCCGAAAGGGGGCAGTACCGTGGGCTCCGGCGGCGGACAGACGTAAGGACCAACTGAGGCTAGAGGCGAGTCTCATGCAGTCTCCGTTTATTGGTGTTTCAGACTCATGCAGCATCCGGCATACAAAAAGGGAGAATCTGTTTGATGTATCCTTTTTTTTTTTTTTAAAGACTTTTAGTGTTTTTCCAACGCTTTTTTTTTTTTTTAAAGAAAACAAAACCCGCCAACTCCGAAAGGCATCGTAGCTCGGTCCCCGCCTCCCTAGCGAACTGTCGCGTGCAACAAACCTCCCTAGTCCTCTTGGAAAATAATTATAGAGCTCCCCGCCCTTCACTCGCTCCCTGCATCTAGGAGCTTTGGTCCTATTTCGGGGTTCTTTAGTTATGCACGTGAATGACCCCAGCCCCGATGCCTTTAAGAAACTCGCAGAGCGAGTTTAAAAGCCCAGTCGGGGCGAGTCAACTCGGGCTGATCTGAAAGGGTCAACAGCCGCGCCCCTTCCTCCTCCCAGGTGCTCAGAACCCAGCTAAGCAACGGTGCGCGACACCCCGCACCAGTTCCCAGACACGACCTGGCTAGCCAGCTCTGCGACCCAGAGGCGCCCTGGGGGCGTCAGGACCTGGGTGGTCCCAGCAGAAAACAGTCGGAACGCGGGCGGGGGAGCCCTCCCCTGACACCGCTGCCCTCCCCCAGCTGATCTAAGTGCTGGAGTTTTTGCAGAGAAAACTGTGGCAGGAGGGAGGAGGAGAGGATCCTGAGGGGGGATAGGAATGCTTAGGAGGCAGGAAGAGGAAGGGGGCAAGGAGTGTGGAGGGGGAAGGGGAGATAATAAAGGGGAGAAGGAAGGAAGGAATGGGGAAGGATGCCAAGACAGTGAAAGTTGAAAGGGGGACACTGGGGCAGAGGTGCAGGGAATTGGGGAAGTTGGGAGGAGTGCAGGGAGGCTGGGGGGGATGCAGGGAGGCTGAGAGCAGAGAGAGTTTGGGAGACGTTCAGGTCAGGGAGATTTCCAGAAGTGCAGGAAGGTTTCTAGAAGTGCAGGGGCAAGGAGTCCAAGAGGCGGGGGGGGGGGGGAATGCAGGCAGAAGTGCAGGGAGGGTGAAAACAGTGCAGGGAGAAGAGAGGCCTACGGTTGGCACAGGAGCCTGGCAGGATGCAGGAGCAGGAAAGAAGCTGTAAACAAGGCCGCTCAGGCTCCCTTGGTCCCTATGGGTGCGGGCCTGGGCCATCGACTGGGCTCCCCCCAGGGGAGGATGGGCCCAAGGCAGCTCCCAACAGGAAGAAAAGTCTTGGAATGCAGGGCAGAGCCCCTCACTTATACACTGTGGGAGAGGAGAGGGAGGGACAGACAGAGACGGTGGTGGGGAGAGACAAGGAGAGACAAAGGAGAAGTAGGGAGGACAGACAGGAGAGAGCAGGGGCAGGGGTTAGTAAAGCTGCCCTTGCCAACCCTTCCATTCCTCCCGGCCTGTCCCAGACCCCCACTCACCGCCTAAGTTGATGACGCAGGAGGCGATGATGATGAGGACCCCCCCTACCAGCGCCACGATGCTTAAGAGCTTGGCCACGCGGCCCAGACGCTGGGCCCCATCCACGTCCCCCTGCTGCAGGCTGTTCCGGGACTGGGGTTAGGGTGAGGGGTGGGGCACCATGGGCCCAGGTCAGGAGAAGACAGCCCAGCAGGGATCAGGTGAAAGAGTTGTCCAGAGGAGACGGGCAGGCCCCGTGGACAGTGGTTAAAGGAGGAAAGAGGGTTGGAAAGGCAGGGGGAGGAGGGCAAAGGTCAGCAAGGCTGGGTAAAACGCATCTTGACATCCCTCCCACCTGACGGGGTAGGGCAATGGTGGCTCAGATGGAAAAGTCCTAGGGAGAGGCTAGAATAGGCCCCATACTTGGGAAGTGAGATCCATGCAGAGAGGAGAGGGAGGCAAGACTACTCCTGGGGTTTTTGTCCCAGTGCTGGCAGGAAGCTGGGAGCCACAGCAGGCCTGGGCCAGGGTCCCATGGGGCTCACCATGACAGCATAAGCGAAGGCCACGATGTTGACAGGCCACATGGGGCAGAAGCAGGACAGGATGGCGAGGATGATGTAGTCCCGAGGTTTCTGGGTGCCTTCACCCCCCTCCACCCCAGACCCTGCCAGTTGGGAGCTGGGGTGGCGGCTCAGGCTACCTCGGGGAGATCCTGGGTGCCCACTGTGAGCCCTTCCTAGTCGGTCCTCCTCAACCAGCTGCTGTAGCACTCTCGGAGGAGCCCCATTGGCTGGGTGGGTTTTTGTTGAGGGTGGCGAGTGAGGCTGGGGGGCTGGGCCCTCTTCCCCACCGCCAGCCTGCAGGGGAACCACTGCCCCATTCTCTTGCTTTTCCTCCACACTCTCAGTCAGGACCTCAGGGGTGGGGTCCTCCTGGGTGGGGGGCTCTGGCTGAAGATCTGACTTGGGGGTGGGCTGGGAACCTGGCTGGCAATCTGGCTGAGGGTCTGACTGGGGGTCCAACTGGGGAGCAGGCTCTGAGGCTGGCTCAAGCGGGGCCGCAGACCCCAGATCGGAACCCTGGTCTGCAGTGAACTCTTTATTCACTTCTGGTTTGGGTGCTGGCTCTTGGCATGCTTCTTCAGGGCTAGGGATGGCATTCGATTCCCCTCCTGGGTTTGAGCTGAGGTCTCTAGCCTGAGCTGTTTCTGAGACCCCAGTTGGGGTCTCTGTGGTTTCTGGAGCCAGCCCAGCCTTAGCTTCTGAGTCCACAGGGGCCCCAGTGATGTCTGGGCCGGGCTGCAGGGCCTCTGGCTCATCTGGGACCCCAGCTGGGACCTGGAGAGGGCCAGTTTTGGCTTCAGAATGGCCAGGCCCTTCTCCTTGGCTTTGGGGACCCTCTTCTATCCCCTTCATCTCTGAGCCCTCAGAGCTGCTGGCTGCCATCTTGAGAGGGGAGAGGGGAGAAGACCTCGCTGGAGAGGCTGGAGCAGCAGAGACAGCAGCAGTCCTGAAAGAGGAGGAGACAGGTTTGGTGTGAGGCGGAAAGGGGTGGCTCTCAGCACTGCAGCTGGAGGGCCAGCCTTGGGCTGCCGCTGGGGAGAGGAAGAAAAGTTGGGGTTTCCTTTGCCTTGGGGTGGGACATCCCTGGGGAGGAGTGCTCTGCTCAAAGTCTGCTTGGAGAGCCCTGGGAAGATTAACCCTTTTGTAAACAGGACCCTCCCCATGGTCTCTTCCTGGGTCTCCCCGACAAGATCCAGACTCTGAGATCCTAGCAAATGCCCCAGCACCCCGAAATCAACAAGCTGTGCAGACGCTCGTACACTCCGACAGGCAGACAGGCACACCGGGCAGAGGACCGACATTTACATTCCACTCCCTCTGCATCCTCCCTTCCTCCCTGGGCGCCCCGCCGGTGTTTTCTCACAGCGCGTCTGGGGCGCAGACTCCCCCGCCCCTCCCTGGGGGACCTGGGCTGCTCCTCTGAGCCCCTTCTCAGCCCCTCTTGCAGGGATTCCCTCGCCCCCGGGGGACGGCGCCTCCTCCTCCCACTGGCGTGGTGCGCCCAGCACCACCGGCCAGTCCGCCAGGCGCCTGCATTCCGGTGCAGCCCTCCCGGCGTCCGCCGTCTGTCCGCGCACTCCTACCCGCAGCCTCTGTCCATCCCCGTCTCACCTCGACGCCGGCCTCGAGACTGCTCCCGCTGCTGCTGCCACCGCCGCCCCGTTGCAGCAGCCGCAGCCCGGGAGGGAGCGAGTCAGCGAGCGAGGGAGGGAGGCGGCGGGTCTCCCCTCCCCTCTGCTCGTCCCCTCCTCTCGCTCCTCTCAGGTCCCCTCCCCTACGCTCCGCTGCTGCCGCGCACCGCCCCCGCCCCTCGCTCGCCTCCCGCCCCTCCCGCCCAGCCCCAGGGAGCCACGCGTGCCAGGCCCCGCGTTACCCGGGCAACCGGCCGGGTAACCACTCGCGCCCCCTCCCTGCCCCTTCCCACGCGCGCCTCCTGGGGGTGCCCCCTTCCCAAGCCCTGGGCCCCTCCCGCCAACGGTCACCGGGGTGTCCTGGCAGAGGCGGGGGACTGGGGGAAACGGAGAGGGGTCTGCGAGGAGACAGGACCTGTGAGACAGGCGGGACCCGGTGGTGGCACTCCTACAAGCAGAAGGCGGGGAGGGGAAATGAGGCAAAACTTGGGGAGGCTGCTCCAAGGAGGAGCAGGGTGGGGTTTTAAGAAAAGGGAGCCTGCAGTACGGGAAGTCCCTCTACCCTCGAGGAAGCAGCAGCAGAAATGGGTGCTGGAAGGCTCCCGGGTCCCTGGAGCAGGGCTCAAAAGGGAATTCCAGGGCCAAGGCTGCAGGGGCAGTCTGGAACAGGAGGGGGCTGGGGCCCTGGAGCCCCGTAAATGCTGAATGGATCACACCAAGAGCGAAGGGGATGGGTGGGGGAGAAATGCAGTTCTTCTCGGCAACCTCAGGGCTCCCAGTCCCAGGGCTGACTTCCCCATCCTTTCTGCAGCTCCACCGCCCAGTCACCTCTCAGGGCATTAAGGGTGTGCAGGTATTCGGCTGGGGTCTGAGCAGCAGGCAGTGTGTGTGAGTCGGGAAGAGCAGCATTTTTGTTTGGTAACTGTTGGGGTTTCTCACCCTGGCCTCTTCAAACCTCCAGTGGCTATTCTGGGACTGCCCAGATTGGGTATTCCCGGGAGACCTGGGAGTCCTGGAACCTGCTCTCCAGTCACTGGAGCCTCAGCCCCACCCTGAATCAGGCTGGCAGCTACTGGTGCTGCCTCTGGTGAGGGAGGAGCCAGCGCCCCAGAGCCACACAGGGCAGGGCAAGGCTGGGACCGATACTAGGCCTGCAAGAAACTCCTTGGGGGTGGGGCAGAAGGCTTGGGGAGAGCAATTCATCCAATCCAGAGTCAGAGACAGGTTTTTATTTAAAATTTATTGTAATGGGGTCCGCGCAAAAGGAGGGGGTGAAGGGTGGGGAACATGCAGGGGACACAGGAACACGATGACATGGCCAGGGCCACAGCTTCCGTCGTGGGGGAGAGGGATGAAAAGAAAAGGCCAGGGCTGGAGCTGGGGTGGCAGAGGGACGGGGGAGACACTGTGACTGCATTCCCCCCACCCCCAGGAAGCACCTCTAGTCCCTGGATCCCCCCATTTACCCTGGCACCCTAAAATTCCATCTCTTGTCCTGCCTCTGGCCCTAGTGGCTCCTTCTTTTGCTCCCCTTGACTTGTTTTCCCCTGACAGATTCTCAATTAGGACGATGTTTAGGGGCCGACCCCAAACAACCTCACCTTATGAAGGTACTACCGTTGCCTTCCCTGCTTCTGCCCCTTCTGCAATCTCACCTTTTCCCCTCTCTGGGACAGAATCTCTGATTCCCCTCCTTCCTCTCCTCCCTCCCCCTGGAAAAAAAAAAAAAAAAGCACCAACTCCCCAGGGAGGGGCAGCAGACAGTAGTGGGAGGGGGAAATGGGAGGAGGAGGAGAGCAGGGACCATCAAGGAGGTGGCTTGCAGATCCCGGGCAGGGCAGGGGGCTACAGAGAGGAGAGGGGGAGTGAGGGCAGTGGCCGCTCCTGTCCTCTGCCACCCCTGCCCACTGTCCAGGGGGCTTCAACACAACCAAGGGGACAGGTGTGTGTGGGGTCAGGTCTGATAGGAGAGAGGAGCAGGAGAAACAAATCTTTAAAACCTAGCGAATTCCCCCTAAGAAACATCTCTTTCTCCTTTCCTTCTGGAGGCTCCTTGGTTGGTGGGGAAGTAGTGAGGAGTTGGTAGGAAGAGAGAGGGGAGGAGGAGACGGTACCAAGGGACTTTCCTCCGCTTTCCACTCTCCCCACCACCAACCTGGAGCTCACCAGGGCTGGGAGGGAAGTGGCTGAGAGCTCACAGGCACCCCCTCGGCCCCGGAAAGGGAGCCCACAGCTGTAGGGGGGGCTGCCACTGCTGCTGCTGCTGCCGCTGCTGCTGCTGCCGCTGCTGCTGCCGCCGCCATAGGACAAACCTCACCAGTACCTGCACAGAGAGAAACACCAGGAGATCACAGCGCAATCCGATCGGCAAGAGCCTTGCCCCCTTGCCCCAGACTCTTTCCCAGACTCCCTCCCCTGGGACACAGCCGTTGCTCACTTCCTGTTTGGTCCCCAAAGGCTTCCACCTGCAACCTTACCCAGTTCTCCTGCAGGGCCCTCCCTGTCCCCAAAAGTGTCCCTAACTTCAGTGATGGATGGGCATCCCTGGCCTTCCTGAGATCCGCTACTGGGCACTTTGAGCCCCCTCGTCCCACACACCCCATCCCACCCCCCCCAGCCATGCCCCACGCCTTGCCTGGTGGGTGCGGGGTCCCCCTCAGCAGGTGGGCTGTGGCTGGGGGGCGTCTCCCGGGACAGGGGGGGCGGCCCCCCCCAGATGGGTCTGCATGTGGCCGGCCAGCTGGGCAGGGGTCTTGCAGTGCACGCTGCACAGCTTGCACAGGATGCGGTCAGCCCGCGGGGCCTGGAGCCCGTGGTCCTTCACCGCGTGGATGCGCAGGTATGCTGCTGTGGTGAAGCCTATTGGGGGGGGGGTGGATTGGGATGGGGGGATGGGGGGGTCAGCCAGGCGGAGACCCCAGAGACGGGGTGGTTCTCCTAGGCCGGGGACGCCCTCCTCAGATGGCCCTGTCCTCCTCCCACATCCTTGGTAGCCTGGGGCCAACTACTTTCTTGGGGCTGGTGGAACACCGCCCCTCCCTAAGCTTGGGACCTGGGTGAGTGGTGTCAGCTTCTCAGCCTTGGTGTCCACAGAACCTATTTTCTGTGGCTAGGGGGACCTCTCCCGGGGTGACAGGCCACAGATTTCTAGCCACTCGAAGAGTTGACCCTCAGCAGAGACGGCTGTGTCCCCTCCCTCCAGGGCCCCATACGGTCTCATCCCAATTACTCAAGTCAATCTGTGAAGCTGTTTAAAAGCAGCTTTCTGCTACTAGGGCAGGGTTCGAGCTTGTTAATCCCCTGCCAGCATACTCCATTTGCCCCAGAAGCCAAAGAGCACACCATGTGGATGCACAGCTGAAACCCTGCCTTCCAACCCTTGGGACCTGGCTCTCTTGACTGCTCCTTGCTCCTTTCCCAAAGCAGCCGAATCCTGCTCCTCCTCCCCACCCTCAGAGGCCCACTCTTGCTAGTAGCTCATCTCCTCCAGTCAAGACCTCTTAGAACTTAATGAGGTTCGGTCTCGGATGTTGTTCCCCTTGCTTCCTAAAAGGCTCTAATAGCCGTGAGCTCTTGGCTACAGCACCTTTAACCCACATTTGTGGAAGGGCCTCTGGCTTCGTCCCTACCCTTTGTCCCTGGCCCTCCCAGCATCCCTCAGCATGTACCTTTGTTGCAGAGCTCACAGACATGGTGAGGGCCCTGGCTGTGCACCTTCATGTGGTCCGAAATATAAGCCGAGCTCAGCATCTTGCCACACACATGACATGGCACCTTCTCCTCGTGTCGTACTGTGTGCGCTCTCAGTCGATCCTTCGTAGCAAAAGCTGCCTCACATTTCTGGGGAGGGGGGAGGGGCGTGGGGGTTGTCAGGAGAGTTAGAGCTTCGGGGAGCAGGGAGAGGGGAACAAGAGGTTAAAGGAATCAGAGCCTTGGGGATCTTTGATCTGTAGGAAATGGGAGTGAGATGACAAGGTCTTGAAGAAGGGATGAGAAAATGGAGTGAAAAAGCAAAAAGAAGAGAGAAAAAGGGGGTCTGAGAGGCTGAACTCAGACAGCTACAATGAGGATCAAAATCATGAAAACCGGGACAGGAGGAGGCGGGCTTCCTACCTCACATTTGAAGGGCCGTTCTGTTGAGTGCACTTGTCTGACGTGACTGTTGAGGTGATCCGGCCTGAGAATACGTTGGGGTTGGGGTTAGGGCCCTGGAGTGTGGACGTGCTCCCAAATCTGCCTAACTTAGCGCAACAGGCCCTTCCAAAGACTCCTGCAATTCGCCCCGACCCGAGGCTCCGGAGTCCCGTGTGTGGCAGGAAATCCCTCCCCCTGCCGCAGGGCGGGCTGCTCCTCCTCCCACGCGAAGCTTTCTTACAACCGGAGGACCCACCTCCTTGGCTAAGTACCACCCCCCGCTCCCTGGTAACCGGGAGAGGCTATCCTCCCTCCTCCCGGGGAGTGGCTCCCGGTCCCCATCCTCAGAAACCGCCTCCCTCCCCGCCAGCCAAGGCCAGGCCACCTCCGTTGCCGTCCCTCCCTCCCCACCCGCCCAGTGGGCGGCCGAGGCCCCGTGCACACCGGGAGAAGCTCTTGCCACAGTGGGAGCAGTTGTAGGGCTTGTGCACAGCGCCGTCATGTGAGCGCACGTGGTAGCTCATGCGGTCCTTGCGCTTGAAGCGCTGCTGGCACACCGGGCACTGGTAGGGCTTCTCGTCCGAGTGCGACAGCTTGTGTCGGTTCAGATGGTAGACGTCGCGGAAGGCCTTGCCGCACATCTCACAGGCGTGGTTCTTCCGGATGCGCTTCCCCGAGGCGGTCGTGGTCACCACGCCACCCGCGGCCACGGCGGCCGCTCCGCCGCCCGCACCGGCTTCTCCCCCTCCCCCGCCGGCTCCGCTCAGCTGGGGCACGCTCAGGAGACTCAGGGGCACCATGGTGGGCATCTTCATAGCACCCGAGGGGACCCGGCCGGCCTTGGCTCCTGTGTGGATGGCCTCGTGCCTCCGGAGATTGTAGCCGTTCTTGAACTCCTTGGCGCACAGGGCACAGATGTAGGGCCCCTTGCTCTTTGTCTTCTTCTCCAAGGCAGA